GTGGCTGTCTTTTCAACATAGATTAGCCTAGCACGTAGCATATCTAAGTACAGGAAAGGAGGAAGTTCTGCTCAACTCTCATTGGAGCACAGAAGGGGCGGGGCTTAAGAAGGGTCAGTGGTCACTGATCGATGCTAGATGAAGAGCTCTTTGATGAGACGGAGAGAGATGATGATCTGAGTCGTGATGGTGGAGAAACTGAAACAGAAATACATAAAGAGGAAGTTTGATCGGGTGCGAGGCAGAAACATGGCGAGAGAGCTGACTGCTGACTCATCCTCCGACAGAACGGATCTGTCTCTCTCTCGTCACCCCAAAGTGCTGCTGGCAGTCTCTCCTCCAAGCTGTTCCCACTTCTCCTCGACCGAATATCTGCAGCAGAACCCGCCGAAATGTGCTCTCATAGCATGAATAAGTCATTTACATACTAAATTATACTGAAAACTAGTTCTCCGTGTGACTGAGCCGCTCCGTGGTGAGAGAGCTGTGTCACACATAGACGATGGCGTTCTCTCTGTTACAGGCTGTGATGGTTAATAAAAGTTTCTTTGGTTTGTTTGTAGGAAAGCGATCTCCCGGTCGGGTCTCCAGCACCTCGGCCCGCCACAACCCTCGCTGCCACCTGTGTCCAACGGGCCCAACAAGGATCTCCGGACCTTCGTGGACTGGACGGTCAGACATGCACATACACTCAGTTTATATATGAATATCAGTAACGATCAGATCTGTTCTCTGCTTCTTGTTTTTGTGTTTCCTGCATATAAATTAATGTTTTGCAAGATTTTACAAACTCATGTATTCAGTTCTTTGATTCAAGAGCGAGGGCTTTTAGTTTGAGAACATGACTTATTGATTTCACCTTCAGATTATTTAATACTTTCCCTCAAAACTCAAACAGCCCAGTCACTCAGGCCTTCTCTCGGATAGCCCCACTTACACAGAAAGTGACATTGTTTTCCCATCTAGCTCAGCGAAGGGAGGCCGCTGTGCTTCTATACTAATATTAATAATAAAAAGAAACTTTATTTATGCAGCACTTTGTAGAACAAAGTCACAAAGTGCCTTACATGGCTGGAACCAGGATTAAGAACAATTCAGGAGGCAATAAGGCAAAAAAAAGTCGCACCAAAGTGAGGTAGAATTAAAAGAATAAAAGACCCACATCAATAACGACAATAAAGCAGATAAAACTAAACTAACCGCACTGAGGCAAATTGTTTTAAACAAAAGCATAAAATACGCTAATACCTGGTAAAAGCAACGATACGATAATATAACAGATTAAACATGAAAATCAGAAGGCAAGAGAAGTACCTGCAATGAAGCCAAGCAGGGCGGGAGTGCATGAATGTGGTTTAAGAGTAACCGCCCGTACGAGACGCTCCAAGAAGTAAAGCGAACGCACCCGCAACGAGGCTGGCATCCTATTGGTTGAGGGATTTTTGAGTAATTCGGGGTCATTGCACAGAAGAATCTAAGAGCAGAGCAGCAAAAACAAACTTCTACACGTATTTAAAAGCAACATGTCTGAATACGGACAGTCGGTCTCTGCTGTCCTGTTCCTGTCGGCTGACTCACTGAATGACATTTGGATTGTCATCAACAGATTTGTTAGCAGACTGGTTTCAGCAGCCGTATGTTCATGTGGAAATGAAAAGCAGCAATTTTCTGTTGGGTTTTTGATCATTGCTAGAAAATGTTTTGTTAGCTGAGCGTGGGAAAGAACGTTTCATGAGTCAGGACTTTATGGGATGTGACTTTCTCTGGGTTTATTTAACAGAACTTAATGGATTTGATTCACGTAACGCCTCAAAAAGCTAAAGAGCCATTTAACAGCCGTCTGAAATGTAACGAAGGCTCAGCGCTTCGGGAAATGCCAACTCGGAAAGTGCTCTGAAAAATGTCACGAAACAAGTCAACAAAAAGTTTGTTTGGCATCATTATCCACTGAAATCCATGGGAATAAATAAAAAGTTCTAAAACTATTTCACCTTACAAAGACCTCCAAATAATTCCCGTTATTCTCCAGCTGATGTCTCAAACTATTTGCAATCTTGTGATGACAAAAACAAATCCCTTCATCAGGGTGCAATTTTATAAAAGACCCGCATTTCAGCAGAAGGTCAAATCAAGTGAAAGGTTGGAAATCTTCTGTAATCAGCCATAAAATAATCCAAAGGTTTCTCCCTAAAGGTGGAGTGTGTGTGTGTGTGTGTGTGTTTCCACCGCTTCACATCGTACACATCAGATCTAACTCCACATCAGAGCTGCACCATTACTTCCTGTGACTGACTTACTTCAAAATAAAAGTCAACTTATGTTAAATGTATAAACATTTTTCACTTTATGAAGGCAGTGAACAAAAAGCAAAGAGGGAGCAACAAACAAATATGAGGCTAATCAGTAAGTGAAAGCAACATTAGCTCCAATAAGACTGTAGGTATCACATACAGGGAATTTGCCTTGGTAAGTTGGTGCTAAGTAAAAAGATAAATAAATACCTAGAGAAATGATCAATAACACAAAACATGTATAAATTCCATCACAGCTTCTCTTCTACAGCTGTTGTGGTCTGCAATAATCACACAGACAATCCCCGTTAGAGCTGATTCTCTAATGATAGTCTGTGTTTCTAAAAGCAGAGACAACTGCTGCCAACTTTACCTTGTTTACAACGGGCCCAGTGGAAGACAGGCACGCATCTATTTTTATCTGATTCAACAAGAGAAGAAGGGCTGTGTGGCAGAGCGAGGTTTTTACTCCCAGTCATCTGTGTAGGTGCTCGCCGGGCTCAGACAGAAAACAAACAGCGCACGAGAACGCCACCTGAAATACTAATACCAGTTCACAAACAGGGACGTCACTGTGGAGTCTGCTAGTAGTTGTTCCTCTGTCTGTGAGATGTATTTCAGAGTATAAGCAGCACTGAGTCAATGCTGCATCCATAATGAACGTTCAAGAAAAGGTGCTGTGCTATTAATTGGGAGTTGTAAGAAGACACACTGTTGTCGGCTCACATCTGAGATTCCCCTCCGGCTCCGTCTGCAGGGACACTTCCACCACGTCATCGCTGGCCTTTAGCTCTCTGCAGGACACACACACACAGGCAAATATCATCATTTTACCTAATCACTCATTAATATACACTGAGGGGCTGAGTTACTGCGGCTTTATGGCTCAATGTAGACGCTGATGATCTTCCATATTCACTCCGAGGTTTTTAGCAAAATGACAGAAAAGCTGCAGAACAAAGGACAGATTTATTTTGTGTATTTGGGTGTTTGGTATAGAAAGGAGGAAATGTCTATAAATGGCCATTAAAAGTTAATTAATGAGGCTGATTGACTGCCGAGGCCGAGCTGCACTTTAAAAAAGAACAGCTGTGAAAACTTATCATTTCAAACAACTGTCTGTAAAATAGTAAAAAATATGAACTTCATTAATTGAAATTATGAAATAATTTAGTTTCTCACTTAATACATATTTTTATGTTTCTAAAACTTAAAGATGAAAGTTTTTCTAAAGAAGAAAAGTACATTGTATGATTGTTTTCCTGTCCTCCTCTTTTTTTAGTGATATTTCCAGCCTTTCCAGCTGTTAGGGTTTGTATCATTAAAGGTAAAGGTTAGAAACCGGAGCAGAAACTGTTTGGGCTGTAATTTGAAGAAGCGAGAGACAAAATAAAAATTACACACCAGTGGACGATGTATTGGTCCAACCCTGGTGCAGAGCTTTATTATTGATCTGTCAGTATTTTCTTACAGCAATAATCTCACTAACTACTCAACATTGCCCTTCTGTAAATATATTAAAGATGTATTCAGACATATATACAAATAATCTGCTTGGAACAATAATGTGTAGAATTTCCTCATTAAAATCAGTTCATTGTAGTGTTGATCGATTCATTTAAGATATTTCTTATACATATTTTAGGTGCTGAAACAGAACAGAAATAAAATACTGTATATTAAATATATTTATAATCTCAATCCAGATATAAAATGTGTTTGTGTTATAAATACAGCGGCAGTACGACGCCTGCTAAGAGCTGTTCACTGAACCCAGTCACATCCCTTTTACATGCATGAAATCATTCACATTTACATGTTTGTGATGCGTAAAGGTGTGTGTTTTCACTTGAATCGGGGCTCCTGTAGTGTTGTGATTAGCACCTTAGATTAATATACACTGTGAAATTACCCACCTACTCAGCAGCAGCAATTACGTGCTTGACACACTCGTTGACCGCTCTCACTAGAGTGTTTATGTGCATACGGCTGCAGTTTAATGTGACTGAAAATAGTCTTGAGTGAGAGACGCACGAGGATAATGTGAGTTATTATGTCATTATTTCCTCTCTCGGTCTGTCTCTGCAGGAGAACGCGGTGAACGGGGATCACCTGTGGATGGAGACGAGTTGTTCAGGAGAGCTCTGTTACCTTGGAGAGGACACCTGCCTCCTGAAGACCGCAGTGAGTAGTGTGCACGCTGCCCGCTGAGTGAGGACGAGAGCGGCTATTATATATTTATTATTAGACTTTTATTTTAGCCTCAGAGACCTTCAGGGTTGCCCCCTATTAGTCGACCTAACAGTTACCCCCTGACCCCTTTTTAGAGACGAGATTTCCAGTCCATGTTCTCCTGGTGGGTTTGAATAGTGTTTCTGTGCTGTGGTTGAATTAATGCGACGGTTAGAGTGAAGCTGTAGTCAGTAGACCTTTTTCACAGCAGCCACTTTGACATAAAACAGTAGGGTAAACACAGGTGTTCCCAGTGATAATGATTAAGGTTCAGTTCCATCCAGGTCAAACAGAGTAAGAGGGCTCACTGTAAAAAACTCTGCTGCTCTAAATGGATCAGAACATTTGTTAATATCAGAAAGTTTTGTTTCTAAAACTTAAAGATACATTTCAGTTTTTCTGAAAAAAGAAAAGTAAATTTTGGCAAGGTTGGCAAAACCTAAAAGTTTAGGTTAGTTTTCCCAACTTGTGTTTTGTACAGTGTAGTTAATCCTTCCTGTCTTATGTAACGACACAGAACTTTGAATGACCTTGTTGTTGGACGGTTCTGTACAGATAAACCGACCTGGGCCGAGTTCTCCATAAGACTGGAACACATCTCATTTTATATAAATAAATCCGCTTCTTTCAGCAGCGTGTTTATCAAAGCAGACGTCACTTCCATTGAGGGTCGAGGACTTTAGAATCAGCCGCAGGTAGCGGTTAATGTCACCGGCTTTTAAAAGCTTGTGAAGCGACCCGGTTGGCTGATCTGGCCGAGGCTGGCCACGAGCCAGGCATTACATAGAGAGGATTAAGTATAGCCGCTGACTGTTGATTTTAGCAGTGAAGTTTGCCTTTTCTACTGTTTCACATGAGAATATGGGCTGAAAAAGAGCTAACATCGACCTGTTCAGTAGAAAACTGTGATTTCAGTGCAGCTGTGTATATCAGGAATAAATAAATAAACGCTGCTTTCACATAAAAATCACTCAATACTTACTACTTACTACAAAAACCTCATGCATAAAATCCAATCCTTTCTGATTCATGAGTCAAATTATGGTCAGTCGCCGTTCGTGCTGAGAGCAGGTGGTCCCGGCGGTCTGCTAATGGAGCGTATTGTGTGCTTCTAAATACAGTCCGGTGATTTGGCATTGTTTTAAACAGGATGCCCCGCTCTCACTCAGACCAACCGTGTCTACAAAGCAGCAGAAGAAATCACTCGTTCAGACTGAGCGAGCTGTGTAGAAAGTGTTTAAATTACAGGTATTATAGATCCTCTCTCCATCCGCACGCCGCTGACAAACAACAGCTCAGAAATAACCTTTAATATAATGACATTTCTGTATAGTTTCTCTGATGGTATGTTATTACAGTGCGCGTACTCGAACAAGGTGAGACACAGCAAAATAAATTCACTATAATCTCTCTCTGTCGTTTGTTTAATTGGATAAATATGCCATCGCCGCCGTGCGCTCGTGGCTACTAAAAGCACAGCCTGACCTCGGTGGAATCTCAGGTTGCTTTGACAAGTCACAGTTGACATGAATAAGCACATTCCTGCCCCGGCTGGGTTAGATGGGGCTGATTGAGTCTCAGTCATTACGGAAAGAGGCTGGCAGTGACGGATGCTGCAGACGATTTAAACTCACTGTACAGAATCTCTCACCTCTGTGGATGAACGCTGTAGTGTGCAGGGAGACTCTGGAGGGACCGCTATGACCTGCAAGTCCACGGTCATGTGACCTGAACCTGACAGTAACCTGAATATATTTATATATTTGCCTGTGGACATTTTTCACTATCTTATGGATGATATATAGATTACATGGTTGATTGAATAAATCATGAGACAGTTAGTTTGTCATACGAATCTGTGAAGATTCAAATCAGTCAAAGAACCCGGCAAAAAAACCTTGATACTTTATTCCCTGTCCTCGAACTGTCCTCCGTCAGCATCAGACGCTGCACTCAGTCCCGGTCTGGACTATTGTTCAGCTACTGGATCCACTACGGCTGCTGGACTGGAGGGGGGTGTAACACACAGCTCCATTGGCTACTGCGACAGGTTCCTCCCTAACTATGTGGAAGCAAACCGCTCTCTGCTTCCTGTTACAGTAGCTGAGTAAATGGACTTTGCAGGTGGTATCGGTGCTGACTATCACTGCTGTACTGAATGAAACTCTTTACTGCACAGAGCCAAACAACCAATGTGTAATGTGCATTAGTTCCTCTTTCTCTTTTCTAGAAACTCTTTTAAAGTCTTTATCGTAGTGTTACATAAACTCTCAATACAGGTCAACGATGATGAAAGAGATTTCTCTCAGCTTTTAAATGTAATCATAGCGTGCGGTATGTTCCCGTCAGCCACAGTTTATCAGAGCGTTTCCATAACGTCAGTATTTATTGATAAAGGAGGTTTTGTGGTTGGACCCCGTGAGAACACTGAGAGCCGACCAGAGACACATGGAACTGAGAGTCTGTTTTTAATATGAGAGTCGCAGTGTGTCAGACTGACCCTCCATTATCAGCTGTCATATTATTACCCATAATGAGTAGTTCATGTGTTGTTAGAGCGAGCAGTGTGATTGATTGAAGGCCAGCAGCACTTTATTTTCATTGCCAGTCACACCGTGGAATAAACACAGTTATTGTCACACAACAGTAATTAAAGCAATACTTGAACATGATGGGACATATACTAAATATCAGGCTGCAGCCAGCATCTGGTTGGCTTAGCTTAGCATAAAGACTGGAAGCCTGTCTGTGTCCCGTAGTAAAACAATCTGCCCACCAGCACCTCTGATTTTAGTTTTTAATAAAAGTTATACTAAAAACTAAATAAAATAAATTGAGAAAGGAGGCAGAAATAAACAAATAAAAACAATAAGAAGGAGATTACTATTATATATTATATTATATAAGTTATGATACTTATAAATACTAAAAGGAAATACTTTAAAATAAATTAATGAAATTTCCAAAAAAATGGAGTAAATGCATTGTAAATAAGACGACAAAGGTCCTCAGTTAAATCATAGATGATGATCAAAACTCCTCGCAGGAAAGTCCCTAGTTAAACTATTCAATGTTATATTAGAAAGTGTTCTAGTTCAGTTTGTGAGTGCAGTTTAACATTGTTACTTTTCAGAGGCAGACAACAGTGTTAACAACCGCAGTTCTTTTAATGCCAGATTTAGATCTTGTTAATCATTTTGTGTCATGGACTGGTCGAAAATATAACTGAAGACTGTTAAAATGTCAAAGTGTCTCTTACGGTCAACGCTGCAGTTAAAGGCTGAATGGGAAGAAAAGTGGTGTGTTTTGTGTATATCTTATATCGCTGTCCCCTGCTGCGTGTTTGCTGGCGGTTTGCTGTGTTGGTTAGATGCGTGTTAGATGCGTGTTTGTTGCGATTGTCTCACCAGCTCATCTGTGCGTGTGTGTCGTAGGTTTTCTCCTTTAAGGACAGTCGGCCCCCCAGGGAAGAATTGTGGCTGCACTGTTAAGAATCGTTGTTCCACACTGAAACAATGGCTGCATAGTAGCAACTAGAATAAGCGGTATCTCTCACACACACACACACACACACACACACACACAGCAGCACAGTTTAATCCTTCACATTACTTAACGCTTCACAAACTCACTGAGAATTAATTTCATCATCTACTTATTGGTATGTATGTCCTGAGTCTGAACGATGAATATTTATCGTGAGGACTGTGTGGAAACATCGTTTATTTCCTCGGGCGTGGGAGGACCTGTAAGACCTGTTCAAGTGTCGGCTAGATTAGTACACAAGTGTAATATTTACTTACTCATTCCTCTTTTCAAAAGTAATTAATTATGAAGACGATTAAATACCAGTTGTTTTTAAAAAATCAACATGGTAAATGGATATAATTAGTATGGGAATAAAAGCATTTCCATCTTCAAACTGTTTCCTTTCCAATTCCAGCAAACCAGTCCAGGACATGTGGATTGGGAATTCGTTGGCGTTGTAAAATTAGTGTAGGAAGAGGGTGTCTACAAAATTAATACTTGCTCAATCAAATTAATTGGGTTCAGTGTTCTTGGCTCAGGAGACACTTTCTACCTGCAGCTGGAGGAGCTGGGGATCAACCAACAACCTTCCTGATTAGGAAATTAAACAACGACACTCTTTAAGTTAGGTTGAAAGTTAAACGGATGTTGATTACACAATGAGAATCTCAACAATCTTCAAGCCTCCAATCCAAATCGTTCTCTCTTTTCTCATCTCTCTCGGCTCTTTATTGGTTGCTTTCGTTAAGCCCATTTTGGATTCTTGTAAATACCACCAGGAAGACCAGGGAGGGAGGCCAGAAGGGAAGATTATTTAATCATGTTCTACTGTCAGTGATTCAGTGAAAAGTCTCAGCCAAATATGACAAAAAAGTTATTTTAGTTACGTATTTTTCCTTTAAGAAAAGGCACAAGTAATCTTCCTTCACTGACGTATTTTAATGGAATAAATAACAATAACGTAAATTTTAGGCGGCTGCATTATATGAAAAAAAAACCAACGCTAAAAA